GAAGAGAAAGTTGAGTCAGCTGATGTATTAAATTTTGTATAATATTGTATGAATAAAATATATAGTAACAGAAATTGTTGTACTTTAACATATCCGTCACAGAGTTACAGTTATGTTTCATGTCGTTTTAGGTTGACATGATCAAACTATGTTATATTATATGTCAACTCAGCTACAATAGAAACAACATTGTATTTTGGTGCCAAAACACAAATGTCATCAGAAAGATTTTGTTCTTGATAAAGAAACCCAAAAACAATGTATTTTTTGTTTAATCATTTACTTTTACTCTATCTTAAATGAATTGTTTTCAGGAAAGATGGCTCATCATTTGTACCATAACTAATAGGTACATAACTAGAATTTAGTTCCGTTTATCCAAAACCATCACTTTTGACCCAAATTCTTATCTTCTATTATCATATAATAAGATGTTCCACAGTTTAAACTAAAGATTCCAAGAAATTCACAGTTCTACGAGGAAAACAAAAGAATTAATATTTTTCAAAACAAAGACATTGATTTTATTATATCTTGAGTTATTACACTTTTTAACATATACTTAAACAGTCTACTGAGGGCAATTTTTTTTCTACATATGTCAGTAGCAATATATTAATAATTTTAATTTGTATAAAATTTTAAATTATTTCAATAAAAATAACATGTTTGATATAAAATTCTCATAAAAATCACTAAAATTTAATAGAATTTAAAAACTGACAATTCAATTTTTTTTTCATTCATAATTCATATTATTCTTCCACATGTCAAAACAAAATCAATACACTAAAATATTTATGGTCATTTCCTTCAGTTTTATGAAAAAATTCCATTTGATATGATTTAATACTTATTTTAGAAAATTTAGAAGCTTTCGGAGTTATTGACTTCCTGGCATGAATGAGAGAGAAAACTATTAGCAAGCGCTTATCAGAATATATTGTGTTATCTACTACTAGAAGCACATTTAACAATTCTAGTATTTTCATCTTTTATTTCAGTAAAGTGCAATAATAATAATAAAATATATATTAAAATTCAATTTGTACAATAATAAGAATTACTAGCTACTTAAACTTAATCAATACACATTTAAAGTGTAAGCCCTAATAACATAAATCACACATCAACTCGAAGAAGATAGAATATACAGTATATATTTGCCTTAAGATCTCTAAATAGATATCAAATATTAAGGTCTACAGTTTATTTACTAAAATATTTGGTTCTTTATTTTGTATAGGAAATAAATTATATTTCATTGCATTTGATTATCTTATACAATTCCATCTTCAATCTAGATAATACCTGAAGCATTTATAGCTGAAGAAAAATATGCAATGATGACCTATTATAATATTGAGTATGGTTATTGTCATATATTATAGAATCAGAATATTTTCTAGAGTTTTTCAATAAAAATATGAATTCCGATCTAAATTAAATATAGAAAATAACTTGCATATATAATATGCATGAGTAATGAAGAGAAAAAATTGTTCCAAACTTCATTATATATACATTTTAACTTTATNTAAACTCTTTCCACCCTGTGGGCACTAAGAGAGCCTCTTTTAGCAAGCCCATTATGGATTCGACAAGGACCACAATGGGTGGCCAGGTGGTAAAGGACAACATATCCAAATGGACTACCCCCAAAAAATTCCTGGGGATTTTTCAACCCATCCAGCCCCACCCCAGAGCAGTAGGGCTGCCACCTTGACTGCTCGGTCATCTGGCCTTCCTCTTAAGTGTATAAGATCACAACAGTTGCATCTAAAACATCACATAATGAAATTTTTCATATCTTAAATTTAAGCACATTGTGAAACTATTACACTATTACATTGTAGTAAAATTTAAATTTCATTACAATGTAATAGTTATTATATTCCAAGGGAAATGCATAGTATAACATTAAAGTAAATATCTATGTATATATATCTCATTTGCAATAAGAGGTCTCTAGAAAACCCAGCCCAGCTCAAAATGTTGTCCATCCAGGTAGTCTTCATCCTATGCTCTCCTCTTGTCTTCAACATTTCTATTAATTATTGCTTGCTTGAAGGTGGCCAAGATATGCTATCTTTCTTTGTTTTTATGGTTTTTTTATAAGCTCTTTATCCTTATAGATTCTTCTTGGCATCTTGTGATTTGATACTTTTTGCTTACATACATATTACAAAAAATATTGTGCGTATATTGTGTTAAATAAAGTGAATAAATAACAACATAAAAAATGAATATAAATAAATGTTCCCAAATATTTTCAGCATCTACCTGGCTTTTAAATTCAGGCAAGACTCAAAGTTAAGAGTTCCAAAGGAGTTAAAGATATTAAAAATTAAATTTTTGAAGATGTTTTCAATTAAAAATATTAAATTTCTAAGAACATAATCTCATCTCATATTTACATAAAGGAAGAGAAAGTTGAGTCAGCTGATGTATTAAATTTTGTATAATATTGTATGAATAAAATATATAGTAACAGAAATTGTTGTACTTTAACATATCCGTCACAGAGTTACAGTTATGTTTCATGTCGTTTTAGGTTGACATGATCAAACTATGTTATATTATATGTCAACTCAGCTACAATAGAAACAACATTGTATTTTGGTGCCAAAACACAAATGTCATCAGAAAGATTTTGTTCTTGATAAAGAAACCCAAAAACAATGTATTTTTTGTTTAATCATTTAGTTTTACTCTATCTTAAATGAATTGTTTTCAGGAAAGATGGCTCATCATTTGTACCATAACTAATAGGTACATAACTAGAATTTAGTTCCGTTTATCCAAAACCATCACTTTTGACCCAAATTCTTATCTTCTATTATCATATAATAAGATGTTCCACAGTTTAAACTAAAGATTCCAAGAAATTCACAGTTCTACGAGGAAAACAAAAGAATTAATATTTTTCAAAACAAAGACATTGATTTTATTATATCTTGAGTTATTACACTTTTTAACATATACTTAAACAGTCTACTGAGGGCAATTTTTTTTCTACATATGTCAGTAGCAATATATTAATAATTTTAATTTGTATAAAATTTTAAATTATTTCAATAAAAATAACATGTTTGATATAAAATTCTCATAAAAATCACTAAAATTTAATAGAATTTAAAAACTGACAATTCAATTTTTTTTTCATTCATAATTCATATTATTCTTCCACATGTCAAAACAAAATCAATACACTAAAATATTTATGGTCATTTCCTTCAGTTTTATGAAAAAATTCCATTTGATATGATTTAATACTTATTTTAGAAAATTTAGAAGCTTTCGGAGTTATTGACTTCCTGGCATGAATGAGAGAGAAAACTATTAGCAAGCGCTTATCAGAATATATTGTGTTATCTACTACTAGAAGCACATTTAACAATTCTAGTATTTTCATCTTTTATTTCAGTAAAGTGCAATAATAATAATAAAATATATATTAAAATTCAATTTGTACAATAATAAGAATTACTAGCTACTTAAACTTAATCAATACACATTTAAAGTGTAAGCCCTAATAACATAAATCACACATCAACTCGAAGAAGATAGAATATACAGTATATATTTGCCTTAAGATCTCTAAATAGATATCAAATATTAAGGTCTACAGTTTATTTACTAAAATATTTGGTTCTTTATTTTGTATAGGAAATAAATTATATTTCATTGCATTTGATTATCTTATACAATTCCATCTTCAATCTAGATAATACCTGAAGCATTTATAGCTGAAGAAAAATATGCAATGATGACCTATTATAATATTGAGTATGGTTATTGTCATATATTATAGAATCAGAATATTTTCTAGAGTTTTTCAATAAAAATATGAATTCCGATCTAAATTAAATATAGAAAATAACTTGCATATATAATATGCATGAGTAATGAAGAGAAAAAATTGTTCCAAACTTCATTATATATACATTTTAACTTTATTAAAAATTTAACAAAGATAAATAAATAAAACCAATTTTTAACAGGTGTTTTAATTTATTTCCTGTGTAGTTAAATATTAAAAAAAACTTTTTAATAAATTTATTTTATACTAATTATTGTTTTTTACACCAATAAATTNTTGTTATTAAATATAGACAGCATAATTCGTATATTTGTCATTTCTGTATTTTTTTACAAATTAACAGTTAAAATATAATGTCTGTAATTTCTATTTCAGGGAGGAATGAAAGATCCACCAGATCTTAGTCCTGAATTAATACAGAGAAAAGCAGAAGAACGACGTTTTTTGGAACAATTAATGGATTCAAAAAAACTTGAAAATTTTAAAGTTCCTGTGCAAATAAATGCAGAATTAAGATCATATCAACAGGTTAGTTATTGATTTTATATTTATGTCAGTATATTGTTATTAGAGTAAGCTTGAATTATGAATTATAAATCAAATTATGAACACTTTTTTTTTTAATTATTTTAATTTGATATATAATATGATGCATGATTTAATCAATTCTGCTTCATTTTAATGATGTTTATGAACACTTTTTTTTTTTGTTTGCTTTAATTAAGTGTTTACATGTGTGAATTTAGAGAAGCACTTTAATTTACTGCAAAAATAAATAAAGACAATTAAGATTTGTTAACAAAATCATTAGTAAACAGAATAGATTTTGATGATCTTTTATTAATTTTTTTTAAGAGAACAAAGTGCATTCATCAGTATACAACATGCTTGTGTAAGTCTACACATGTTTTATATTAATTTCAAATGTGAAATTGATTATTTTAACGAAATTGATTATTTTAGAGAAATAAATCGTTTCTGCATAAATTAAAAATCAAATAATTAATCTTACATTTAAATTTTTTCATCCCTTTTTTTATAAATTTTGACATTCTTCTCATACGAGATGCATTTCAATTACTTTACAACACTAAAACTATTCAAATTGAGGAAAATATGGTTTAGTTCGATACAGAAACGATTCAGTTAATTAATTTTAATAAAAATACGAACTTACTTCGTCTGCAACATCTTCTGCACGACTCAATATTTCCTTCTGATCCAGCTTAGGTGCCATCTTCTCCCTTGGAAGGCAAAATGGAGGTGACGTGTATTACAGAGCTCAAACTAAGCTACCCTAACGTGATTTTAATACTGAAATGTTTTAGTTAATACGATTGGTGAATAGATTCAAAAGTCAACGTTATATAACCAATAGAAATGAGGCTTCGTAAATTTAAGATAAATAAACACGGCTGTCAACTTGAATGAAAGTTACGTTGACGTCGATAATTTTATCTTCGTTTATTTTTAAGTTAAAGTTATAATTAATATAAATGTAAAGATATTTTTCCAAAAATATAATATGTATTAATAGAAAGTTGCTTTATATCTTCTTTAACAAATATATANCAAAAGTCAACGTTATATAACCAATAGAAATGAGGCTTCGTAAATTTAAGATAAATAAACACGGCTGTCAACTTGAATGAAAGTTACGTTGACGTAGATAATTTTATCTTCGTTTATTTTTAAGTTAAAGTTATAATTAATATAAATGTAAAGATATTTTTCCAAAAATATAATATGTATTAATAGAAAGTTGCTTTATATCTTCTTTAACAAATATATATATTTTAAAATTCTTTTCGCCCTAGCCGCTAAGAAGGCCTGTTTTTTTTTTTTTTTACAAAGCCATTACATCCGCAATGAGGAGGCCGAGTAGTGAGGGTCAGAAATATCCGGAGCGGACCACCCTCAAAAGATGCCCGAGAATTTTCGAGTCGATTTGATATCGGGTCCAGAGCGGTTAGTTGCCACCTTAATCGCTCAGCCATCCGCCCGTTCACATGTATTTTTATTCCTCCTCTCCTACCTCGCAGCTTACTACTGTGGGAGATCGAGACAGTTGATCTACATAGGTGTTCCATTGTAGCCTGTTGAATAAAACCACTTTTTTTAAAACTCTTTCCGCCCCGTGGGCACTAAGAGGGCCTCTTTTTTCAAACTCATTATGGGTTCGGCCAGGCCCACAATGGGGATGCCGGGTGGTGAGGGGCGGGGTTTGACATATCCGAACAGACCACCCCGAAAAATTCCTGGTGATTTTTCGCCCGTTCGGATTCGAACCCGGGTCCCCCAGAGCGCTATGCTACCACCTTGACCGCTCGGCCATCCGCCCGCATGAATAAAACCACTAAACGGCCACAAGCCGACTGGCCACTTAAAGTTTTTCGGGTTTTCTTCACTTGTATACACCTAAATAGGATTAAGTTTTACATAGTAATCCTCTTGGAAGGCGCTCTCTTGACATTTTCGCATTTGTGTTACGTTGCCTTGTTTCATCAAATCAATCATTGTGGGTTTTGCAAAGAGGACTATTTCCCTTGCGAAATAATTAACGAAGAGATGGAAAGGCGGCCAGATAGCCGAGGCGGTTAAAACGTCAACTTGNAAAGTTATAATTAATATAAATGTAAAGATATTTTTCCAAAAATATAATATGTATTAATAGAAAGTTGCTTTATATCTTCTTTAACAAATATATATTTTTTAAAATTCTTTTCGCCCTAGCCGCTAAGAAGGCCTGTTTTTCTTACAAAGCCATTATATCCGCAATGAGGAGGCCGAGTAGTGAGGGTCCGAAATATTCGGAGCGGACCACCCTCAAAAGATGCCCGAGAATTTTCGAGTCGATTTGATACCGGGTCCAGAGCGATTAGTTGCCACCTTAATCGCTCAGCCATCCGCCAGTTCACATGTATTTTTATTCTTCCTCTCCTACCTCACAGCTTACTATTGTGGGAGACCGGGAGAGTTGATCCACATAGGTGTTCCATTGTAGCCTGTTGAATAAAACCACTTTTTTTTAAACTCTTTCCGCCCCGTGGGGACTAAGAGGGCCTCTTTTTTCAAGCCCATTATGGGTTCGGTCAGCCCCACAATGGGGCTGCCGGGTGGTGAGGGACGGGGCCCGACATATCCAAACGGACCACCCCGAAAAATTCCTGGGGATTTTTCGACCCGTTCGGATTCGAACCCGGGTCCCCCAGAGCGCTAGGCTACCACCTTGACCGCTCGGCCATCCGCCCGCATGAATAAAACCACTAAACGGCCACAAGCCGACTGGCCACGTAAAGTTTTTCGGGTTTTCTTCACTTGCATACACCTAAATAGGATTAAGTTCTACATAGTAATCCTCTCGGAAGGCGCTCTCTTGACATTTTCGCATTTGTGTTACGTTGCCTTGTTTCATCAAATCAATCATTGTGGGTTTTGCAAAGAGGACTATTTCCCTTGCGAAATAATTAACGAAGAGATGGAAAGGCGGCCAGATAGCCGAGGCGGTTAAAACGTCAACTTGCCACTTTGGGAACCCAGAGAAAAATCTCAAAACTTTCTTATATGCGATCTGTCGGCCCCTTATCTCGCCGTCCGATAACTTCATTATAAATCTGACATAACCCACTATGTTTTTTTTTTAATTTTTTAATAACTCTTTCCGTTCTGTGGACACTAAAAGGTCCTTTTTTAGCAAGCTCATTACGTGTTCGACCAGCCCTCAATGGGGAGGGACGGGGTCCGACATATCCGGACAGAAAATTTCAGGAGATTTTTCAATCCGTCGGGATTCGATCCCAGGTCCCCAGAGCGGTAGTCTGCCATTTCGATCGCTCGGCCATCCGATAAGAACCCACGATGGGTACGAAAAAAGCCCTTTTAGTGCCCGCATGGAAAATAACGGAAAAAACAATGGGGGAATAGCCGCAAGGCATAAAGTGTATATAAAAATATTTAATTAAACCATTTCATTAATTCGTAAAATTTATATTCTAATTACATTTTTATAATTAATATTACGAGAAACAAAACGTTATTAAATCACAACACAAGACACTTTATAAAAATAATAAGTTTGATGTTCGTCTGTCGATAATTTTGACATTTGATGTGGCAACACTGTAACGTAAAGTTAACGTCGATCCACTTCATTTGTTAGAAAAATATAATTAAAATAAAATGTCGTCGATGTCCAGAAGTCAAATTAATTTAGCCAGAAAGAAATTAAGCGACGCACTCGGCGACGATTTTAAAATGTACGTATTCTAATATCTTTTATTCCAGTTCGACGTAAATATGAGAGATTTGTTAATTCGTTTTTAATTACGTAAACGAGAAATTAACTAGAAAATTAAATATAAAAGATCTTAATGTCGTTAAGTAAATTAATTGCGCCACGAAAATTTGTCGGGAATTTTATATTCTTAAAAACTTTAAATTTCTCGGACAGCAAATTGGCGCCATTTTGTTGCATTTTTTCAGCCGCCAAATTTGAATATGATTGATTGTCAAAATGTCAAAGCGTCGAGATTTTGAATGTAATGCGTATAAAACTCTTGAGATTACGTTTAATTTTTAAGTAAATATAATAATAATATCCTGTTTTTACTACAAAATAATCACCGAAAGGTCTAATGTTTGGGCGCTACCCCGCCAAGGGGCGGGTTAATAAATCTATGGGGCAAAAGGAAACAAGGGGGCGCTGGAGGCGATGGTCAGGATCTCACTTCCTGCACCCCCTTGTTTCCTTTCCCGAATCCCAGCGACCCTTGCTTTTTTCTCTGAATCTACTTCTACGGTGACCGTAGTGTTGCCACCTTTTCAAAATCGCCGACCCTGGCGGCAGGTCGGGTTTGTTCGAACAGAAGTTCTTGACGCTTGCGCAATGTCATTTTACAATGCGAAGGATAACTTGCGTGCTGGTTCTAAATCAGTTACAGTTAGGGACTAGGGACTTGCGTAGGAGTAACTTAAGTAACCTAAATTAAGAAAGAACAGGTATGGATGACTTAGCTCTATTGGATATTGGAGAAGTGTACGATCGTACATGCAAAATAGAAAAAAAAAAAAGGGGGTCGACAGGTTGCGCGCCACACGTCGGCGTAACAGACTAACATAGCAGAATTGCAGACGATTTCAGTGAGTGCGAGTTCTTTTGCTGTTAAAATAGTAAAAATATTTGCAAGAACTTTGTTTTATCATAATTTCACAATTTCTATGAAATTCCCGGACAAAATTAATAGTTCACCAGGACACTGAGTCAATTCCCAGACGGGTGGTAATACTAGGCGAGGATTTGGGTCGCCGGTAGCCCTTTCCCTTTCCTCTGTTAAAACAGATAAGAAGAAACATTGAGTTTAATGGTTTCCAGAAGTGGAGAACGATGTATGTAAGGAGGCTAAGTAAGAAGAGTTTTTCTAAAAATATTTTGAAGGTTTTCTCACACAAGGGAAAATGGATCAGAGGCATCTGGTATAGGTTTATCGAACTAGGGAGTTGTGGGAAGTTTGGGAATTGTCAGTCTAGATTGAAGTGATTTTAAGCTATGTCATTCTCTGGCCACATTGCCTACTTTTGGAGTAGCAAAATCTGAACACATTGTGAAAAAAGTGACGAGGTAAAGAAAACTACAGTGTTCAGAACATCTCTCCTTTCTTTGATTGTGATGTAATGGCTGGATGGCCAAAGTGGTTAAACCAATTGTATTCCAAAAGCAGAATAATTAGAATCGAAGCTTTTGACTAGAATCTTAGAATGCTTAGAATCAAACTAACGCTTTTGACCTTACTCAAGGTTGAAAGCATTAGTTCAATATTGCATTAAATGCTGTTACCGGATTTAAAAGTTAAATTATGGTGTTCATTGGTACCGGTAATTAAAGAAGAAGATATAGTTAGGTGATGTGTATGAACATATCCTCTGTGTTCACTGGATTGAAAGAGAGAAAAATAGAGAAGTAAAAAAAAATTCATACTAATGGAAGTGAAAATAATTTGGATTACAATTAATGGTAGCAACTTCTCAAGAGGAAAAAAGGGACAAAAAAAAAATAACTGAAATTCTGAACAGTTGTCAACTCTATCATTGCCTGGCAAAGCGATTATCCATAAATGACATCCACATTGGAAGAGGGAGGAGAGGTTATGACAATTAGGACAAAGTCAGACAAGGGGGTTGAGCTTCAGTGGACATCTGTTTTATTTTATTAAATTTTATACAGTTTATGCATGTTATTATATTTCAAAAATTTTTTGTATGTTTCATTTCTGTCATTCATAGTGATAAAGGTTTTAAGGGGTTGAGTTTTGTTTGATGTTTGAGGAGAGGAGTGAGTTACAAAAACTTGAATAAATTGGAAGAGGGGAAGTAAAAATTTTAGGTAAAATGCAGATGTAACTTATGGACCCCTGAGTGAGTGAATGACAGTCCATTTCAAATAAAACAGACTATTATTTGCTTTCTTATTCATCTGTATTAAAGCTGCTCTACTAGGCATAGGAAATATGAAGAACTAGGAATAGATGAAATCATGTGGTTTTGAAGATGTGATCTTTGACTGTATCATAATGTTCCTCTATTAGTATGAGCTAATGATTTGAGTCAATGCTGATGCATATACAGAATTAATTAAGAATAATTTTTTATAAAATTGAATGCATTACAAATGTGTTGGTGATAAAGTACTAATTCTGCTTAATTTAATACAAGTGCTTTATGTATGTTGATAATGTTTTAAACAAAACTGTAACAAAGTTCACGAAGGAAAGTTAGTTCATATTGCAAATAAAATGGCATCAGATAATATTTCTAAATTCATTCAGGTATATTAATTGGAGATTGAAAGATGAAATGACACAAATAACTTCCTATGTGAAGCAGTGTGAGAAAAATATTTTGGATACAACTGCATTAGTAATATTCACAACTTCAATTTTAAAAACAGCCATTTTGTTGGTTAACAGAAAGGCATTTCAACCAACATTGTTCTTGTTTAATTTATTCAACTTTGTGGTCATACTCCATAATTCAATAATCAAAAAAACAAGATGACAGTGAATGTCATCTAACTAATCTAGCTACTTATCCTTGGTTGTTTGGTTGTGATAATCATTGCTGTAAGTAGCAGACTAGTAGCAGCCGTAAGTAACAAAGATAACTGAGTCTGAAGGTTGAGAGATGGGTGGTTCATTGACACTGATTGTCATCTTAATTTTATTGTCTGTATGCATTGGCCTTAACTCATTTGAAGTCAAGCTATGTTTAATGAGTAAAATTAAGACATGAAGTCTATTTTGAAGTGATATAGTACACACCAGATCAAATCAAAACTTTCTAAGACACTAGTAACTTGGTATTTCCAACAATTTTATATTACACTTAATAAACATGAAACGTGCTTATATCTTCTCATAAGCCTGTTTATGATTTATATGAATGATATTACTTTCTGATGATCTTTGATGCAACTTTTTAAGATGATTTTCTCTGCTTAAGATCATTAACATCCTGTAAAGGTTGCAAACGATTTTTTTGAAATAAAATGTTCTAGCCAAAATGAAAAGAAGTCAGATTATTTTATAAAGACATGACAAATTTGTAAAATTAATGTGTGTTAAACACAATATTTTAACAAATATTGCGTTTAATTTGCATTTAAATATTTATTTACACACAATGATTTAGACGACTGCAGACTTTTTAATTAAACATGTGCGGAAATTTTTCAGAGTCACCTCTGCTTAGACTAATAATTGTCTTACATAGTCTGATTAAAACAGTCTACATAAGACGATTATTAGTCTTAGTGGAGGTTATTATTCGAAAAATCTTCTTATATGTGTTAAATATTTATTTGTAACCCTTTCCACTATAAGTAAGGTGCTTCAAAAAAATGTTAAAACCTATGTGGAGAAGGTGGAAGTCACTGCATTGGGTAGTAGGAATGTACTTTTTTGAGAACTTCACAATTATGTTGTAACCTCTTGCACATGGAGAGAACCACACGAAGGATAACATGTCACTACAAATCTGGTACACCAATTTACTTCTGTAGTAGCATCAACATTTTTTGAAGCACCCAATATAACCTTACTAATCTGAACTTTTCACTAATGCAACTAAAATAAATTTTATAATTAACTTAAACCTTATCAATTGAATTATTTTGAGCTATCAGTTAATACAGACGATGCTAAGATGCTATCTTGCATTGTTCCTACCTTTAAATTCATTAGTTTAAACATTGTTGTTGTAGCCTGAAAATAACCTGGTTGATTAGGCTTAAGTTAACTCTCTGCCTTGTAGGCATTAAGATGTTCCTTTTTTATGCCCATTAATGGATTTTTTAGGCTCACAATGAGATCATGTGGTAACGAAAAAATATTAATTGGGCTGCAATTTGAAAAAATCATAGACCTACAAATTCCACTGTCGTCCGTCTCTTTCCTTAGTCTTGAGAATGGAGTTAGATAATTGTGGCCTCAGATATGGAAACCTGAGGCCCCAATTAACTATATACAATCTATATCTGGTCTCAATTTTCATCTAAATTTATTCTTGACATTAAGGAAGTACAAATATTAGGTTGGGGAAAAAGAAATCCATTATTTTTACGTTCATTTCAAGTCTTTATTTAACATGGTTTCGGTTGTTCGACTTGGATCAAATATGCACCGTTTTGTTTTATAATTTGTTGCCATTTTAAAGGTAACTTCATAATTCTTACACTATCATAAATTCTGTACACAATAGTTCTTTGTTTGTTTACGGAGCTGTCATGAGTCAGAACACGACGTCAGCTAATTTCAACCTATATTTCATTTCTTCAAACAGATCTCAGATAATGGATTTTTGTAACTTTTTGATATGCCGCAACTTTATATGCTGTAACTCATTCTGTTGCCTAGCAGAAAAAAAAAAGTTATTTATCTTTGATTCATTAGACATTATTTACATATTGTATATTTTACAGATAAATATTGTATGTAATTAATTTGTATACAAATTTAACTATTATGTTATATAAAAATTAATTTAACTTAAAATTTGATTTGTATAAAGCAACAAAAGTAGTTTTCCTCTATAGTCCACGAAACTCTCTTAATAGTCGACAAACTAGATAAATATTGTTGTCAACAAGAGCCTACTTATTCTGTTACATGATGGAAATCACTTATTTTTATTTACTTATTTTTAACAATTTATCACTACTTCGTACCGTAAAGTTTAAAACTATTAAGTTAAATCATTAAATTTT